GAGAGAGAGAAAGAGAGAAGCAACATTTTAAGACTAAGGATTGAATTTTAAATATTATATATATAAAACAAATAAGAAAGATATTATTCATCTAGGTTCGAATCTTGAAAATCTACTACCTAGACTTATATATATATATATATATATATATATATATATATATATATGTATATATATATGTATGTATATATATGTATATATATATATGTATATATATGCATATATATATATATATTATTAGGCTAATCATATAATTTAAATATTTCAATTTCGTCCTTTCTTCTCTATTATATGCAAGTTTAGCGTTTCATTGGAGGCAAACAGTTTCTTACATCGACTATTGACTGCTATCTGATCCGTTTAAAGTTTCGTAAGTAATTCAAATTTTATTTCGCAATTTTCTCTTGCATTCTATTATATTCTTCTTCTTTTTATATTAAAAACTTAAAATTTCCCACCTTTTCTTTGACTCTCAGAATATTATTAATAAAGAAACAAGTGGAGGGACATGATTTATTAATTAACTGAAAATTGTTCGCCAATCAAAACTATATATTATAAATATTATGGAGTAATTTCTTCTTATTGCTAACTTAAAAAAAAAAAAAAAAAAAAAAAAAAATTTATAAAGTCAGTCAAGCTGTAGTGTCAAGGTTTTTGCGTCCAGTAATTTCAGAAAATAATCGTACTTTGGAGAAATCTCAAGACTCTTATTCTTAGTAGAATCCAATTCGTAACCAATAGCATATTCGTGAATGCGCAAGCGCAGCTCACAAATTGCATCCTTCTTGGATATTAATAACGATTTTACAAGCCTTAGACTAATGCGTTACAAATAAATGAATAAAATTAATATATTTTAAACATTATGATGCGGAAATATTTCAAGTGTGCCATTAGATAAATGAACCCAAATCAATTCAAGAACAGCTCACAATATAGGAATGCCTAAAATCAAGTCAAAGTCCCAATGAGAAAAAAAAAAAAAAAAAAAGCTGCACAAAACGCTATTTAAACAAAAAAAAAAAAAAATACACAAACATATATA